TTTTCACCTATTTTTATACATTGCAAAGATAAAATGATAGACACATACTTCTTTTACTTAGGTGGGTACAGAATAGTTAACAGTCAACAATTAACATGGTAACAATAACAATGAAGGAATATATGGTTGTGTCCTGGCGCCCAGGGCATTTGGTTGTGCCCTGAGGGGTCCAGCAAAAAGGGAAGTTACAAGTTACCCTGACATTTCAAGAATATGTTATCATAGATGCAAAAAAAATAGTCTCAAGGTAAAGATTGGCCTTGTCAGGAAAGATACTGGCCTAGGACTTGACTATCCATCATAACTGCTTTTAGTTAAAGTTTAATTTCAGCATCCTTTGTGGTTACTTTAGGTCTTTGAGTTTGCAAGAATGCATGCAGGCCTTCCCTGAGCTTGTCAGGTTAGCATGTGGCCCCTTTCGTCCACATCTCAAAGTACAGAAAATCACGATAAATGTTTTTATATATGTATGCATTTATACACATAATTTCACATTTAAGTCACAGATGGTCAATGCTTACCTCTAAAATTTGCATTCGATGGTATGCCCCAAACACAAACTTTTTTTTTTTGGCTGACTACAGCTACTATTTGCAGAGTCCACAAATGTTTGGAAACACAAATTAACCATTTTTAATTTAGACAAAAATCCCTGATGGTGGCCAAACGACCAAGTTGAAGGTGATGGGGAAAGTTAGCCTATATGAATCACACTGACAGCTCTTAAACTCACTGACCAATCTTAACATGACCGACAACCAGAAATCATTTGCTTCTTGATATGATGCAACAAAAAACACACAGCTCTATCTATTTTAACTTCTATGTGATCAAGTCTCAATCTAGCTACCAATTAACAGGGAATACAGGACAAAGAGGAACATGTGAAACACTAATTTCTAAAAGGATATCATCAGCCAAATCTAAAATGGGCAAAATGCTACAAAACACATGACCCAATTTTTTCAATGGATAAATGGCAAGAAAAAAGAAAAGAGGAAACTGCTCTAGATATAAGGAAACTTAAGAGATAGATATATCAACCAAGTGCAGTATGTGCGGACCTTGTTGAGATCTCGACTTGAAAAATCAACTATAAACACAGCATTTGTAAGGCACTGAAGGAAATCTGAACATGAGTGGCTATCTGGAATATTTTGGGGTTTTTTAATGATGTAATAATGGTATTTAGGTTTTGTATTTAAGAGTTTCTATCATTTAGAAGTTTTGTGACTGACAGATATGTGGATGAAATAATGATAAACAGAATCAGCTTTAAGATATTTCAGGAGAGCCCAGCTGGCATGGCTCAGTGGTTGAGTATCAACCTATGAACCAGAAGATCACAGTTCAATTCCCGGTCAGGACACATGCCTGGGTTGCGGGCTTGATCCCCAGTGGGGAGCATGCAGGAGGCCGTTGGTCAATGATTTTCTCTCATCATTGATGTTTCTATCTGTTTCTCCCTCTCCCTTCCTCTCTCTGAAATCAATAAAAATATATATTTTTTTTTAAAAATATATTTCAGGAGAGATAGATGGCAGGAGAAGGAACAAATGAAATAAGATTGGCCATATATTGATAACTGTTGCTATGTAATGGGCACACAGGGGTTCATTATATTATTCTATTTTTATATGTTTGAAACTTCTATAATTAAAAGTTTTTAAAAATTAAATAATGTTCTCTCTTCCATCTCCAAGTAAAAGAAAGTAGGAGGGACAAATATTTTTGCTAAAAGCATCAACTCATTGTTAAGAGAGTCTATATATATATATACAAGTCCATCCCCATGCAATGCATGGCTAGGCCATCTTGTTCACTGACTACCAAGTCTCCTGACCACTTATCTTGATCAGCTGTTTTCTAGACACACCTAAGTCATCGGAGGATCCCAAGGCAATTCATTTTCTACATCTGTGTAGGCCAGAATAATCTGGAGTTTTTGATTAAACATTTTTCCCTATTGATAGATCCCCTATGTCCCTTGTTTTAGAGAAACAAGAAGAAATCTTTCCATGTAATGTCCTGTCACGCTTATTAGATAGTAACGTCAAACTCTCCAGAGCCAGAAAATAAAAAAATTATTATCAATCATAAGTCCTGTTCCCATAAGCCTTTGCGAGTGAACACCCCTCAAAAACCATTCCGATGAGTGCCCAGTGCTTTCTTTCAAGAATCCATAAAACACTGTGGTTTATAGCATGTAACCTGTGACTAGACCAGTGATGGCGAACCTTTTGAGCTCGGCGTGGCAGCATTTTGAAAAACCCTAACTTAACTCTGGTGCCGTGTCACATATAGAAATTTTTTGATATTTGCAACCATAGTAAAACAAAGACTTATATTTTTGATATTTATTTTATATATTTAAATGCCATTTAACAAAGAAAAATCAACCAAAAAAATGAGTTCGCATGTCACCTCTGACACGCGTGTCATAGGTTCGCCATCACTGGACTAGACTAAGGTCACACAATTCTGTCATTCATTAACTGTATGACTTTGGAAAATTTACTTAATCTTTTTGTGTTTCAATTTAAATAATTATTATACTCACTTCCTAAGGTTGTTATGAGAATTAAAGGAGTTAATATAAAGTGTTTAGAATGGGATTTGGCATGCAGTAAATAAGTTATTTATTACCACCACCAAATAGTCTGTCTCATGTTCAATCTCTCAAACATAAGCTGCTTCAGAGTAGGCTCTAGATTTAACTCATCATAAAAAACCCAGTACCTCTGACCATTAGTGATGCACAGATATTTGTTAAGTGTTACGTTTATGCCTCTATTTATTTAATGTTACAAAAGGTTCTCTAAAAAGGAGTGAATATGCTTGAATACACCTGATTTTCATTTCTGATTAATGTGCACTTAATTCTACCTAATGAGAAGATAAACACCAACATGGCTAGTATTAATCTTTTCATCTAGACACTTGTGACTGGATTTTGAAAGCACTCAAAATCATCTAGTGAGAATTCAAGCATTTACTACACCTTATTTGAAAACTATCACCCTAAATTTATAAGCTAAATTAAAATCCACTTTGATTAATTGGGAAACTCTCAAGAAACTTTCCACACCATTTCTGCCCTATATCTGTTCAACCTAGAAAGTTCTGTCATATATCCCTTCATTGTTAAGAGTCAAGTTCAACTGGCAGCTGAAAGGAAACTTTCTGCAATGTGGGTGCATTACTAATTTTTTTATCGCTCAATACATCACACATTAAGCTTCTCCAAATTATTTTAAAGGTTCAATAGCTGTTTGAAATGAAACTTTCCTTCTTCTAGCACCAAACCCATTTTTTAGGAGAAATTAATGTTTCTACCACCTCAAGATAAGAGATAATTAGGCAACATTCCCCTTGGAATGGCCTAATGTATAAAGGGACTAGTAAATCTCGGCTCTGCCTATTCCGGTACTACCATCCTTGGGTTTTAATTAGTATAAAAGCTGTTTCCAAGCAGATGGACTTTCCTCTGGCAGTTCATCATGGTCCACAAAGACAGTGATGACTACACTGGATGCTAGCTGGGCTTATGGCAAGTCCCACAAAAGTCTCATTTTCAACTTACTTCAGCATCTATATTAATTTAGATAAGCCTTGTTAACACTCCAGCAGTAGCAAATGTGGTCATTCTTTTTCTGGGAAATTGGAGATTTAACCAGCTGAATTTTCTAAGCTCTTTATTTTTTTTAATCCTCACCCAAGGATATTTTTCCATTGATTTTTAGAGAGAGTGGGAGGAAGAGGGAAAGACAGAGACAAACACCGATGTGAGAGAGACATATCGATTGGTTGCCTCCTGCATGCCCCGGACAGGGCTGGGAGCCTGCAACCAAGGTAAGTACCCTTGACTGGAATCGAACCTGGGACCCTTCAGTCTGCAGGCCGATGCTCTACCCCCTGAGCAAAACCGGCTAGGGCTAAGCTCTTCATTTTAAATGCAGGGTGGTTTGTCCCTGTCCTCTACTCCTTACCTTCCCTGGTTTTTTATATGCCACCTCCAAAAAAGTCAAATACTTCCTTGAGCAAAATATTATCTTTGTTTTAATGCATGTTTAGTATGTTTTATTTTTTAATATTTATTTATTAAATTTATTGGAGTGACAACTGGTCAACATGGACATATACATAGATTTCAGGTGCGGGTTTCTATGTTACAAGATCTGTATATTGCACTGTGTGCCCACCACCTTACTGTCACCTTACATGAGGATCCCTTTCTCCCTCAACCCCCAATATTATCTGTTATAGACATTTCTTATCAAGTCAGTAAACTTATTAGTGACATACTCGAATTTCTATAAAGATTCAAGAAACATCCTTCCTCCTCTTTATTGTTTCTTTTTTATTATTACCAATTTAAAAACAATTAGGGATACTCAACCTGAAAGAACAGTTTCACAATGAAATGAGAACCTGTCATTAGGATACCTCCATTTTTTCTCCAAATATTCTGATGTGCAGTGTGCAAAAGCAGTCACTATCTGCAATCGAATTTCCTCTAGAGCAGCGGTTCTCAACCTGTGGGTCGCGACCCCTTTAGAGGTCGAACGACCCTTTCACAGGGGTCACCTAAGACCATCCTGCATATCAGATATTTACATTATGATTCATAACAGTAGCAACATTACAGTTATGAAGTAGCAACGAAAATAATTTTATGGTTGGGTCACAACATGAGGAACTGTATTTATAGGGCCAGAAGGTTGAGAACCACTGCTCTAGAGCATATAACTTTCTAAATAAAGACCCCACTGCTATGCAAACATCTCCAAGTAAAACAATTGTTTAAAGCCACTAAACGTTTTTAAAGCTACCAAAAGTGTAAAAGGCAAGGCTACAGAAAGTCAACACTATCCAAACTTGTCTTTAGCACTCAAGAACTCTTCAGCTGAGAGCTAAAAATACTGCAGTACAGAAGGGAAAGGGCTATGAGAGCGCTTGTGTGAAAACTGAACTATCAACAGAGGCTGCCAAACTGCTACCTGCACTCACTTGCATCAGCACAGGACTGTCAGGCATTTTCTGAGGAGAAGCCCTATGCCCCTGGAAGATTAATGGGTCACAATTTCCGCCTGAATAAAAAAATCAGAATGCTGATACAACTCAGGTAAATTTGACATTTATAAAATAATTCCTCAAAAACTTTGTTTCTAGGCAAATCTATAACCCCCTTCAAAAAATTGGTTTTATAAAGCAAATTAAATCATATTCAAAACAACAATATTTACAAGTTAGCTCATTAAAGCCACTGAGATATAATCATTCAAACTTGGCCATAAATCACATAAACATCTTTAAAAATACAAAATTATCATCTTCAAATGATAAATGATTAATCAACCTTCTAAATGTAGCTCTACATCATAAAGAATGTTTTCCCTTAAGTTGTTTTAAGTTGTTAAAAGAAATACAATGTTTTTTAAATAATTATAACTTTAACTGATGAACAAAATAGATCCAGAGTAATAGAAGCATGGATCAGACTGTTGAACCACAGAGGAAAAGAGGGGGTGGGTGGGTGGATGAGAGCAACAAAAGTACTTAGCATAGGCGCATAACCCATGGGCACAGGCAATAGGGTGGTGAAGGCCTGGGGTGAAGGGTGGGGGAGGGCTAGAAGGGGTCAATGGGGGGAAAGGGGACATATGTAATACTTTCTACAATGAAGATTTTTAAATAATAATAATTATAACTGTTACTTATTATCTTAAATATATTCTTAAATATATATATAAAGCAAATAAATGCAAACTATAATTGATAAAGAAGAACATGAGGTACAAAGTGGATTTTTATTGAATTTCTATAAAAATCTGGTTCCAAAATTAAATATGTAATCTCACACTATTTGCTTGTGTGTGTAAATACCTACACACACATCTCCAATAAAACTCCACTAACTTATAACAGGCAATAGTGATGTAGCAATATAAAAAACAATAACTATGTGAAAGTCAAACAATGGAAAAAATTAAACCTTCAGAGCTTCCATTAGTCATCAGAATTATCTTACAAGTCAAGTCTCTTTGATTTGTGATGGAGAACTGAGCATTTGAAGCAGCAGTAGTCAAACTTATTGGACTTTTAACAATATCTAATTTTGAACTCTTCTGCCCCATTCCCTCCTACAACTGCTGTATGATATAAGGGTGGGGGCAAAAGTGGGTTTATAGTTGTGAGTACGCAAAACAGTTTATTATCTTCCATATGAACAACTGTAAACCTACTTTTGCCCACCCTGTGTAATTATTTTTAATTAAGTAAATGTAAGTTTTTCTGATAATTTTAAAACACCCTGAAAATAAAACTGGAGGTTCTGACACTACAGTATGCCCTAACAGGTGAGAAAACACTGCTTTGGTCATTTCAAGCCCTCTATTTTTATAGAAATGAGTGACTACTTTTAAGGTAAAGTTAACGTCTATATTCCAGAGCAAACTGGAAGACTGAATGTCTGCAAACATTACAAAATCGCAGTTTTTAACTTTTAAGTCATATCAATCACAAGACCAGTTTTGGGGGAAAAGTGTTAATATATGTAAACCTATCCTAAAATATAGGTACCAACAGTGCAAACACAAATGCTGTCAACTTAGAGCTAGCCATCCCCACCAACAAAACAGCTCCAAACCTTCCTCATATGTGCGCTCCCTTTTCTAGAGTCTTCCACTCAAGTCCCAGCCAGTGCAGGCAGCTCTGCTAACTCCACAGCAGGGCAGGCCCAATGCCCTGAGCCATGGTCTCCAATCGCCCTCAGACTTGTCCTCTCTTATGAGAAAAGAGCAGCAGCCAAGGTGCCCAGTACATAGCTGCTCCTGCACCGCCTCACTCAGGGCCTAGGTACTATCAATGCAGCATCAGTAGTGAAGCACTGAACAACCAACCAGGATCAACTCGAGTGAGCCCACTAAGGGCAGGCACCAATTCTACTCATTTCTGTACCAATAATCTTCCTCACTTTATGGTACCTAGGTGTCCAATATGTGCTTTGTGAATGAATGTATAAAACTGTGTTGAATCCCAAAAGCTGAAAAATAAAGAAGAGGACCTCCCAGAGAGGTAGAAATAAAAAGAGACATGTGAGAAAGTAGTGACAGTATGACATGGTAGTGAAGGCAATCCAAAGTGGAAATATACGTGCTCCTGTGTTAGATTCTTCCTGTGTATTAAAGTAGGCAATGACACAAACGTATCATTCCTATAACAATGGGAAAGAGACAGGACCATTTAAACAACCTAATGGCATTTTTAATCTACCTACAAAGCTATTTATAGACAATGTGTACATCTTTTAAACTTAATAAAATCAATATGTTTCTCTTGTTTTATTCCCACAATAGGAACTAAGAAAAAAAGAGCAACAATGTGAATGCAGTTTTAAATTTTAAAATTGTTGGCACATTTGTATAGATTTTATGTCAATATATAAAAACTAAAAATTGTATTAAATATTAAACAGAAATATTTTATATTAAAAGGTAAATAAAAGCTAAAAATTATCATGTTAAAATTAAAAGATAGCATAAAACAGCCCTGGCCAGTTTGGTTCAGTGGACAGAGCATCAGCCAGTGGACTGAGGAGTCCCAGGTTCAATTCCGGTCACGGGCACATGCCTGGGTTGCAGGCTAGGTCCCTGGTGGGGGGCTTGCAGGAGGAAGCCAATCAATGACTCTCATCATTGATGTTTCTATCTCTCTCTCTCCCTCTCCCTTTCCTCTCTGAAAGCAATAAATATATATTCTACTTAAAAGAATAATCTTAAATGTTCATAGAAAAATTAATTATGTGAGGTGATGAAAGTGTTGACTATCCCTACTGTTATGATCATTTCATAATATATGTGTGTCAAATCAACACACTGTACACATTAAGCTTACACAATGTTAACTGTCAATTATATTTCAACTAGAGGCCAGGTGCACGAAATTCGTGCGGGGGGTGGGGGGGGTGTCCCCTCAGCCCGGCCTGCACCCTCTCCAATCTGGGACCCAGCAGTCGGACATCCCTCTCACAATCTGGGACCGCTGGCTCCTAACCACTCGCCTGCCTGCCTGATCGCCCCTAACCCCTCTGCCTGCCTGCCTGTCTGATCGCCCCTAACTGCCCCCCCTGCCGGCCTCATCGCCCCTAACTGCCCTCCCCTGCCAGCCACTTTGTCCCTAACTGCCCTCCCCTGCCGGCCTCATCGCCCCTAACCGCCTCTACCTCAGCCCCTGCCACCATGGCTTTGTCTGGAAGGAAGGCAGGATGACCGGAAGATGTCTGGTTGACCTGGTCTAATTAGCATATTACCCTTTTATTAGTATAGATAGGCTAGGAGGGGAAAGGAATAATACATATAGAAAAATGGTCGCCCGGCCAGCGTGACTCAGTGGTTGAGCATCGACCTATGAACCAGGAGGTCACGGGTTCAATTCCCAGTCAGGGCACATGCCCGGGTCGCGTGCTCGATCCCCAGTGGAGGCATGCAGAAGGCAGCCAATCAATGATTCTCTCTCATCATTGATGTTTCTCTCTCTCTCTCTCTCTCTCTCTC